TGAAGGTTTTATGGCATGCTAGGGTTTTCGGAAAACCTACTACATATTATACTATTGAAGTTCCATAAAACTTTGGGGGTTAGTATGTTGATAATTGTTTTATTATATATATTTATATCAACTTGGTTCACTCATATTTGTTTTGCGCCCCTTCAAGACTTAGAATCGAGACGTACAATCCCAGCATCAAGCCACTTTCGCATCGGCATCTTTGAGTCCTCTTGGTGTAGGATCCATTCTTTTATTCATTCAATTTTATATTATTTCTTTTAGTGTTCTAGTTAGTTGTATGCTTTGAACACGTTCCCCAATTGCATATTAATTCATTATATTTAAACTTATAAGTCTTATTTATTTCTTGTTCTTAGCATTTGCATTCAATAAATGGCTTTCGTTACCCTCAGGTGTAGACCAACACGTTACCATTCCGATGTCCCACGGACATCGAGATCGAGGCGTGTTAGATTGGTATCAGAGCGTGGTTTGATTAGAGTATACTTAGGATCTTCTGTTACTCTAGTAGTGTGTCGGGTCATGACATCATTTGGATGTCACGACTTCCGGATTTGTTGTCTTTCGGCACGGTTGTGCAACCTTTATACTGCATGAATAGTCACATCGTATTGAAGAAAAAGGAAAATTCATGTCGAGATTGTGCCTCATTGGTGAATATTTAGTTTGTTGAACGACTTTCAACATCGGATTGATACTCTGTAATATGCCATTCCCTAAGAATTGCAGGCGGAGTTGGATCTACATCGGAGTATTGGGAAGTGGGAAAATCTTAGTGGTATGAGTTGGTTAAGACCAACTGGAGATCTGAAACGGTGATGTTACTTTGCGACATGCGTTCCCTAGGAATGGCGGGCAGAGTCACATCTTTTTGAAAATTACTGGAAACATTCGAAGTGCATGTTAGAGAAAGCAAGGAAGCGCTAGTTGTTACAAAGTGTAGTAAGTGGTAGTTGGTGGCATCGAATCAATGTTCTCGGACTCATTTCTACCGAAGAAAATTGTGTGGATATTTAGAACAATTCTATTATGTGGATATTTAGAACAATTCTCGATGATTGTTTTATTAATAACCCTCTTGCTTACTCCAACGACGAAGTCAAGTTCCCTAACTATAGACTGTTAGTTTCACTCAAAATTCTTTGAGCATCAACTTCATTTAGATTAAGTACTTCCTTAGGAAGACGCGTTGTGATCACTCGTCTTATGGCTTAAGCACATGTCAAATTTACACTTCTCTCGAATGATGTGTGCTCTCATTGGGTTTTTTTAGGTTGATCATTTGTGAGTCCTTTTTCTTTCCACCAACATTGGCCTTGTTTGACTAGAAATCTGCAACTAAGCAAAAATGGAGAGGTGGATTGAGCACTACAATAGTTCCCAAGAGATACAACTTGTTGAGGAAGGTGACTTCTCATTTTTTGCTTGTCTGGCTTGAGCTTTTGGGTCAACTATTAACATGGTAGCCTCTTCTCTTGAATCCTAAGGTACATCTTTCAAATGGATTCTCTGTTGGCATCTAAATACTTTTCTCGGGAGACTATTCGGTAGCATACGCTATTCTCATTAATTTCCAAAAAGGTTGCGACCGTTGGGAATTGAAAATCCTCATAAGGTGTCGTGAAAAGTGAAGTACCCTTGGTCTTGTACTCTAATTTTGATGGACTTGTTTTGACTCTCAAATTCTTAAGTATTCTTTTAGCCTTCTCAACATGGTTTCTCGCTCAATCAGTGAGGAATTCAAGATTGATCGTTTCGACGGAAGTGCGCGACCAGTTCTTATCGATTCGGACATGAATATTAGGAGCATAACCTTTCCACAAGTTTACAAAACCTACCAGGAAGAGTTCCATGTAGGTGTGAGGTTAGGCCGTCTTCTAGTTAGAGATTGGTGAAGATTGTAGTGCAGGTCATCAGCAGATTGCACACTATCTTCCCGCAGAATTGAATAGTCACCACTCATTATCATGCTGCAATTCATAAACATCATATCGTAGTCTAGTACTTTTCCAACGATATGATGCCTATGAAGTGTAGCATGATAAGGAGATGTGTGCGCCTTAACGCATCTTTCCATTGCTTCACTTCAAGACCTTATTGTTGTGAGTACGTGGATGTCGAAACACTTCTAGCAGATCTGATTAATGTGCTCTAGAATGGTACGCCGACATGGTCGAGGCGAGAATCTGACGATCTTGGTACGCTCTTACGTTGTGGGGCAAAATGGTTTTCAGAAGATCGAATTTACAATATGAAAAATCGTGCACCCTTAGTAAAAGAAAGTCTTTGAATAACATTAATGCTTTGTTAAAAAAAAAAGACTTTGGTAATGTTTTCTATTATATTATATAAATTAATTTAATTGGTCACTTTCTAATAGCAATATTAGTCTTGGTCAAAAAGGGCTTTGAATAACATTCATGCTTAATTAAAAACACTTTTAATATTTTTTTTCTATTATATTATATTAATTAATTAAGTTGGTCACTTTCATTGTTCAAATAAATAAAAATAAATAAAAAGTCACCTTCTAATACTAATATTAGTCTTGGTCAAATTAATTTTTTTTTTGAATAATAGAGTCTTGCTTTCTTAAGGTCCTTATTTTGAGGATATATGAGGATTAAATACATATTAGTCACAAGATTATATTAATTTAGATCCAAATGCTTAAAATATTTAACAACCTAACAAAGCAAAACAAAAAAAATGAGTTTTCTAAGGGTTCATGGATTTTAAGTTGGTTTTGCTCTATTAAGTTGTCAAATATTTTAAGCCATTGGATTTAAACTAATATATACATATATATATATATATATATAATATTGTGGGTGGTATGCATTTTGTTCTCACATATCCTCAAAATGAAGATATTAGAAGAGCAGGATTGTTGAATAACATTCATCTTTGTAGACACATGTGGCCATATGAGGAGACTTTTTAAGTAGTTATATCTCTAGTTTGAAAATGAAAAACTATATATTACTAAAATTTTAAATTAATAATCTCGATTAATCAAATTTCTACAACTAACTCATTGACTTCAACTAGTCATATGAATATTAATACATTAATTTTCAAAGGGAAAATTGAATATGAATTTTCCTTTTTTTTTTCTTTATATGAAAACATTATTAATCATAATCTAGAGCATCTCTTAGAAAATATATTCAAGAACCTTCATCTCTCCTTGGTAAGAAAATTTTCGGATCCGCCACTTCAAAAAAAATTCCTACATGCAGTTTTACTTGAATTGATTTGTTGTGTTATGAATCATGATTTACAAATTGACACCATAGGGCTGTGATCAGTCTCCACACACACTGGCTACTAAAACATTTCTTTTGATTTTGCACCCGTTTTAAAAAATAACACCAAAAAAAATACAAAACTGAGAAACTAAGTTATGGAGATATATACTTCAACAATCTTCTTGTTGGCTAAATGATCTTCAAATTGAATTATTTTTTGTATATATAATCTTTAGATAATAACAAAGAAAATGAACGGCATAGGCTATATGATATTTGTATAGTAAAGATATGTTAATCATAAGCAGAGGGACAAGTAAGTGGAGAACACACGCATTAACGGTCTCATTGTTCAAACTTGTGTATACTTGTAAATGCCTACTTTTCGTGGCAAATTAAATTTCAAGTCGACAGACTTCTTAAGAAGTTCATTTTCTAACCACGCACCTGTAAATCATAAGAACATACTTTACCATGAATACACAACAGAACGAAAGGTTCAACACACTGTAATTACACCACTCATTTGCAGAATTTAGGGTCAGTTTGCTATTTCTATGACCTCCACTGGTTTGTCTGCACCAGAAACTTCTACTTTGAAAACCAATGGATTAGTCTGCTGCACCCATCTAGATCATCTATTCTTTTTTTATTATATGTGTAGTGTTGTGTCATGTCGCGTGTGACCTACACTTGCATGCCTCATCCCACTCGCTTGACGTCGATGTCTGATATTATATGCATGAACCCCACACTTGACCAAGATTTCAATCCTCCACACACGCTGGGACTGGGGCTAGACTTTGTTCAGTCTGTGTAAATGGTTGCGGCCGCGGGAAGGCTAGACCAGGTCACTCAACGTTGGCACCACACAGCTTTTGATTGAGTTGAAAAATCGTTTCCGAATTTCCAATCGTAAAGAAGGGATTAGAAACTCTGCACCTACTGAAATTCTAACAAGCTCAAATTTATTTGCGACTCATAAAAAGGGGAAAAACTCGTGGAAAAAAAAAAAATGATCATCATGCAACTCAAAACCATGACATTTCTTCAGAATAATCCTCTTTTTTTTTTTTCTCCACTATGTGCTCCTGCTGTCCTCATTGCTACTGATCAAGTCGACACCAATATCTCCAGGAACACAAGCAGAATCGCTCATCAAATGGAAGGACGGCTTTTCTTCTTCTTCACTAGTATCGCCACCTTCACTACTCAATTCATGGTCCCATGCTAACCTCAACCACCTCTGCAACTGGACTGCCATTGCCTGCACCAAAACTAGAAAAGTTGCCAAAATAGACCTCTCCAATATGAAAATTTCTGGAACACTAGCTAACCTTTTTCGACTTTTACCTAATTCCAAATCTCACCCACTTCAACCTAAATGGCAACAATTTCCGAGGGCCTCTACCATCTGCCATTGGAAATCTCTCCAGGCTCACAACTTTGGACTTGGGCAATAGGGTAATGCTAGGGAAACTGAATTTAGAGGCTAAATTTGCAAACTAAATGATGTGTCACCAATAGGAATAAGTATGTTTATCAACGTTTAAGTAATAAACCAATCATCAACTTCCATGTCCTTTAGTTTCCAAAACTTAGTCTACAAATTTAGTCTGTCTAGCATTACTTTGGGAAATAACTTTTTTGATCAACGAATTCCTTCTGAGATTGACCAGCTCCGCAACAACAATCTCTTAGTATCATCCCTTATCAACTGAGCGATCTCCAAAAGGTATGGTACATGGACCTTGGATTAAACCATTTACTCTCTCGTGCAGGCATGTCTTCATTGACCTACCTTGCTATGCAAGGTAACAATCTATATTATTCAGAATTCCCAGAATTTATATCTGAATGCCGGAACTTGACGTTCCTGGACTTGTCCCATACTAAGTTGAGTGGCAATATACCAGAAGTGAGGTTTACCAATCTACGTAAACTTTGGTTATCTCAACCTCAGTTATAATCAGTTCTTTGGCCAGATTCCGGACAATATAGGTTTGATTTCTGGTCTTCAACGTATTGACCTGAGTATGAATCTTCTGGAAGGGAAAATACCATCCTCTATAGGCCAACTCAGGGAGCTCCAGTACCTTGATCTTATAGACAATTCCTTGGACTCTTCAATCCCTTCTGAACTTGGTCTTTGTACCAATCTCACCCACTTGTCCCTGTCTTCCAATAAACTCATTGGGAAACTGCCTCTGTCCTTATCCAATCTGAACAACCTTGTTGGATTGGGTTTAGCTCATAATCTATTTACTGGTCCAATCCTTCCTGCTCGTCTTTAATTGGACTGAAGTTGCTGACAAATCTGATAGATTTGGATCTTTCAGAAAACCAGCTGTCAGGGCTCCCAGCGATTTTGGCAAGTACAGTACGTTGAGATTTGTTAGCTTTTCAAGCAACAATCTCCCTGGAGAGTTTCCACCAGAGTTGCGCAGTGGATTTGCTTCGCAAGATTTCTGAGCGAACCATAACAACTTCACAGGGGCATTGCCTGAGTGCTTGAAAAATTGTTCGGCATTGGTGAGTGGGCATTTTGAAGGGAACAAATTCACCGGAAACATTACAAATGCATTTGGCGTTCATCCCAGTCTTGAATTTATTTTGCTTAACAACAACCAGTTTGTTGGTCAGCTCTCACCACACTGGGGACAAAGCAAAAATTTAACTGTACTTATGAATATGGGTAAAAATAGAAGTTCGGGTTCAATACCATCCGAGCTTGGGCAGTTGAGACAATTGGAGTATCTAAGGCTTGATGGGAACCGATTCACTGGAAACAATACAAATGCATTTGGTATTCATCCCAGTCTTCGGTTCATTGATCTTAGTGACAACCAGTTTGTTGGTAGACTCTCACCACAGTGGGGAAAATGCATAAGCATCACGGACATGCGTATGGGTAGAAATAAAATTTCTGGTCGAATCCCACCTGAGCTTGGGCAGTTGAGACAACTGGAGTATCTAAGCCTTGATTCCAATGAATTCAGCGGAGAGTTGCCAGATGCAATGGGAGACCTATTCTGGTTATCCAAACTCAATCTGAGCAGAAATCACTTGACAGGAGATATTGTTGGAAAATTTAATAATAATATTATTATATTAAATTTATTAATTGAATGGAAATTAGAAGTGAAGTCTTTTGGTAGAAATATATGTCTACTTAAATGAAGTGTTGCAACTTTTAACTCTTCATGAATAGTCACATGCTTTACAAAGAGGTATCTCACATTCTATAAATAGGGAAGCCCCCTACAATCACATAAAAACTTTTCATTGTTTTACATAATCATACCTATAGTGTACTAAATATTAGAGAGTCTCATTTTCAACACAATCGTGGTTCATGGAGCCTTGTGATTTGGAGTGCTACTATTACAAGGACGTGATCGTTGTATCTTGAGAGACATGCGCTGATCAACCATGAGCACCGTAGTGGAGCGTAAACTTGTCTTAAGGACAAAGTGTCCAACACTTGCCTTAACCGTATTTTCTAGGTTTTTCTAATCCATTATATCATGTTCATTTAACATTGGTTACTCATGTGCATGCATTAATTTTGATATATAACTGCATGAATTATTTCTTAAATTTTTATGTGATTTAATATAGCAATTAGATCCTAAATTTTTCCAACAGATATTCCATGGACTCTAGGCAAATTAACTAAGTTTCAGTTGTTTTATTTGTCCGATAACCACTTGACAGGAGTGATGCCATGGAGTCTAGAAAAACTGACTCAGCTTCAGCTACTCTATTTGTCTGCTAACAACTTGACAGGAGAGATCTCATGGATTTTAGGTATGTTGTACCTCAAGCTTCTTACATTGTTTAATAAAAATATGACGGGTAATACCAACTCATCCGTTTCTCGCCGTAGGCTTAACAGGTTTGGTCTACTTGGATCTCAGTAGCAATTCACTATCGGGTGCAATACCATCAGAATTGCGCATGCTCACAAGATTAGAGATTTTCAATGCCTCACGCAATCATCTCTCAGGTGAAATCCCATTAGCATTAGCTGACATGTTTACTTTAAGTAGCTATGACTTTTCGTACAATAACTTGACAGGGCCATTCCCAACTTCTGGAATTTTCAAAAAGGGGCCAAAAAATGCTTTTGTTGGTAACTATGGCTTGTGGAGTCAAGCAGACTAGCTGAATGTAATTCCAAAAGTAACAGCAACTATTCAAAAAATGCTAACAAGAGTATAGTATATGTTATCCTTTATTTCTTTTGCTGTTTCATAATGGTTGCAATTGCCATTGCTTTCTTTCTTATGTTTCGTAAGAGGTCCGAGATCCTGCCTCAGGTAATCAAAACTTTGAGAGTTTTGAATCAATAATATTGCAAGAGGAAGTAAAATTTACATTTGCGGAAGCTGTGAAGGCTGTAGATGACTTTCATGAAAAGTACTGCATTGGCAAAGGAGGGTTTGGAAAGGTTTACAAGGCAGGGTTCAAATCAGGCCAAGTTGTTGCAGTTACGACGATTAACATGTAAGACTCTAATGACATTCCAGCAATCAATCTCCAAAGTGTTAAGAATGAAATCCGAACTTTGACAAATATCCGTCACCGCAACATCATTAGGTTATATGGCTTCTGTTCAAGGAAGGGCTGCATCTTCTTGCTTTATTACAATCATAATCTAATACTTGAAACCAACAAATTAGTTATTACAAGGAGTAGTCGATAAGTGTTTCAACTCAAAGAGAATTGTACGGAGTTACTGAACTTGGCTGGGGTTCAAGAGTCAAAATAGTGCGAGAACTAGCTCATGCACTTTCTTACCTGCACCATGACTGCTCACCACCAATTATACACCGTGATGTAACCGTCAATAATGTATTGGTCGAGCAAGATTTGGATCCCCGACTCTCAAATTTTGGAACAGCAAGATTGTTGAGTATGGATTCATCCAACTGGACCAACATTGTTGGTTTGCTAGGCTACATGGCACCAAGTAATGTAAAAATTTAATGTTCTATAATTTTTTTGGCCTATCTTTTGGTGATTGAGATGTGTAGAGGTGACATAATTTTTCTTTAGGGGCAGAGCTCATATATACTATGTAGGTCACAGATAAGTGTGATGCTTATAGTTTCAGAGTGGTAGCACTAGAAGTCATGTTGGGAAGGCACCCCAGGGACATGCTAGAGTCCCAACTATCGGAAGCATCAACGTCAATGAATGAAAATGCATAGCTGCTTATGAAAGATGTGTTAGATGAATGACTGGAGCCTCCAACCAATGAATTGGCAAAAACAATGATGCTTGTAATGAGTATAGCGTTGGCTTGTATACGTACACGTCCTGCACTGCGTCCAACAATGCTTTTTGTGGCACAAAAGAGTCTTCCTTGCCTTCCTGAACCATTTGGTATGCTTACTATCAACAAGCTATTGGCCCTATAAAAATAAAAGAAAATAGGGAATATGTAGCTCCAACTTCACATTAGAATTCTTACTACGTGCAGTCTATATCAAATAAGGAGAATCTGTGGAATTTTATTTCTTAATGTTTACAACAAACTTCATGAACAGTATTTGACATCTGCACCACCTTAATTACTAAATAGTGTTGCAAATTGTGTGGTCGAAAGATATATTGTTTAACCTGTGGTCCAATCTAACATTAGAACACAAAGTTAAACATCACATATATGTGTGCGCGCGCGCGCATCTAACTCAGCCACAAAAACCATCACTTTCCCACACTCCAAATCTCCAAATTTTAGGATCCTTTTGCGGGTTGAAATGCGGGTCATCGGATCCAATACTCAAAAGGAAGGTAAAACGCCACAATGCAGCAATAAGCTCCCTTTTAGCTGCCGGGGCAGTGAGCTCTCCCCCAATTGGTTCTTCCCCCCAGAAATATGGATCGACCAACACAACCCCAATCAGCTTAACACCAACCTTCCCCTCAGAGCCTACTCTCCCTCCATGTGGTGGGCTATATTAGCTCCGGCGCTGTCCCCAACGAATAACACGCATTGTGAATCCGCATAGCTACTTAGCCAATCTTCATCTTCTTCTTCATCATCATTTTGCGTTCCATCAAAATGGGAAGCGACCATTTGATAGCAGCCCACGAATTGTCCTAGGCAGATGGGTGAGGGTGCTCCAGCGCAAGCCTGTACTAGACAGAAACGGCAACGCCATTGGAGTCGGGGGCCAAGGAGTTGAGGTGGTCATGATACGTGGGAGAAAAGGCGCTTTCAATGCAGAAGCCTCCGCCGTGAAAGTAAACGAGAAGGACTTAGAAGGCCTCTAGTTCTATTTATAGGCAATGGAGAAGGAGCAACTTCTACCTTATCGCTGAGCTGCAACATGAGTAGATTGATCATTTGGCTAACCGTGACTGTAATTCTTGGTAGGTGGTTTTCAACTGTGCCTTGTGGCGTTTCGTATGATCCCATTAGTGACATCAACGGATATTATGTGCTTAGGTATTTAATGGGGCTAAATATTCTCAGGTTCTAGTTGTCTGCCTGGCAGATGCGCTTCGTAGAGAACTTTGTCCAAGCCTTCAAATGGGTTATAGAAAAATGAGACCGTCATCCGAGCCGTGGTTTTGGGCTTCAAAGTTGGTGGCCCGAAGCCGTATGACTTTTGTGTAAATAAAAATGGATAAGGTCGATAGCATGTCTTATTTTTGTTTATGATCCAAACAATATATATGCACAAAGGAATCCCTATTTTTTGAAAAAAAAATAGATATTAGGTGTGGGGCTTACTCCACATCGAATTTCAACGATCTGAACCGTTTATTTTGTAAGTCTCGATTCATAGATCATCCTTTCAAAAATTCAATTCAATCCGAAACTATTTGTCTGTTTAATTATCAAGATCAAATTTCATTGTGTAATATATAACAAAGTATTTTATTTCTTTGAACGCAATTAGATGTCTTAAATATTTCTGATTTGACTAATATTTTATAAAAATAATCTATAAAGTACAACTTAAAAAAAAAATATCGTTAATACATAAAAGAGAGCAATCGTAGACCTTATCTATCTTTCATAAAGTAAGAAGACAGAATACAATAGAAAAGGGGACATAAAACCTGGTTGCAAGAAAGCATTCTGCTTCACCGAAGAACCTGTTGAGGTAAATTTATACATATCATAATATCTTTAACACAAGACACTGTATTGTCTGCGTACGTGTGCCAAGTCAGTATTTTTCAGAGGTAGATTGTCTGCCCTCTTGTTTGGATGTCCTTCCTATCCCTTTTTATTTGTGCGGTCACGGTTAAACTACGTCAACATTTTATATTCCTATTGCTTTTTGTCTTATTATCTCTATAAAAAATTAATATAAAATATTGACGTGACTTAACTGTGATCGTATAAAATAGAAGAAGATGGAAAAGTCACCCAAATAGAAGACAGATAATTTACCTCCGTATTTTTCTGCATCCGGGTCAAGTGTTAATTTCTTATTATTTTACAGTTTAACAGTAATTAAGATGGACGGCACAGTTATTCACTTCATTATTTGATTTGCTTTTGCCAACAACTGCACTCATTGAAACACGTAGAACAAATGATTGCCTTGCACGCCAACACCAACCTAATATGGACCCACAATGGCAATTATGCGTACGTTTGGACAAAAACAAAAGAGGAAGGTAGATTGAGATTCAATGATGCAATCCATCTTCAGCAGCTTGCTTTTTGATGAATTAACTTGTGAATTGTACAACATGCAACTTTATATGAACATTTAATAAATCTTCGTCCAAAAAATGAAAACAATTTTAGTGAATTAATTAGTTGTTAGGCATATGTCGTTTAACACATTAGATGTCTACACATATGGTCTAAATAAGTAGTCTCCTTGTATTTTTCATTTTAAACTGAAAGTAAACATCCGAAGAAACCGAGCCATATCTGGCAAGAGAATTAAAGTTTCAAGTAGCATCGAAACATATTAACACCAAAAGAGTACATTCATAAAGTTAATAAAGCATAATTGGTGCAAATTAGATGTACTTAACAACAAGCATAGTCCAAAAGAAAATACAACACAAATGCCAAAAAATAGCAATCCCACAACAACAAAAGCCCAAGACCCAAAAGGCTGCTGCCTCCACTACAACAGCTGCACTGCCATCGTGGATCCGCCTCAACCATCAAGAAGAAGATTCACAAACAAGCTGGATAAATGAAATACGGGAGTGAACGAGCCACCCACGTAAAAAGCGTCCTTATAATCTTATCAAATAGTTCTAAAAATACTTTAACAATCAAACTCCAAAGTGAGCTGCCGATGGGAGACACGCGATGGGCCGAGTAGTCAAGGTCGGCGGTGGAGGACTGACGATGAGGAGAAGCAGTGGAGGAAGAAAGGGGCATAAAAGCCCAGATATGAAACAAGCTCAGTCAGGTTGAGACAAACTCAAGAAAACTAGACATGCAGGAGGATTACCGGAAAAAATAAAGAGAGGGGACGGAAAGGAGTGGGGCTGGAAAGAAATAAGAGGAAGGGGGGCAGAAGGAGGAGGAATTAAGGGAGGGGTAGCGGGCTGGAGAGGAGAAGGAAAGGGGGTAGGTCAAAGGGTTGACCCCAATTAAAGGAAGGAGTCGGGCGAAGAGCAGGGAATTTGGGGTGTTTTCTGTGCGAGAGAGAAAGGGGCTCCGGCTCCATTTCACTACATTTCATTAGGCTAATCAGGAGAGTTTCTTTTGATTCTTGATCACCTTCCACGATTTGATATCAGCTTCAATCTTTTCTTTCACGCTCTTATTAAACCCTGGATAGGGTTCATAGCCAAAGGCTGATTGAAGAAACTCAAGCAACACATAGTACGGCTCCATAAATCCTTCAAAAAAGCCGTCTGCAAGGCCTGGTATTCGTTTCTCAAAAACACCATGGCCTATGAGCAGTGCAGGCCAGCAGAAAGCCTGAACAGCAAGAACAAGCTTCCATGACTTAGCAAACCCTAGGCCACTAGCAAGAACACTGGCTCCAAAACTGGTGAGAAACAATAGCAAACCTGCCAAGGATCCAGCTTTCTTGTCCAATTTGACACAAAGATAGCATAAATCAAAGTCAAAACCAACCCAACATTCAACTCGAAACCGTGATAGTTTAACCCAGATGGGAAATTATAGAGAGGTGGTGTGAAGTGGAGAAGAACATCAACAGTGAAGATTAATGGCCACACTAAGAAAGTGTGTAGCAAAACGTTAACCGGGTTGCTGTGATATGCTCTATAGAAGGCGAAGTGTCTTTCAAGATCAAACAATCCAGTCCTCCCCATGGAAATTTTCTTACAAAGTTAAATTGGTTTTTGTTCGATGAAGGTGTAGGTTTTCCTAGCTAATATAGGTAACTAGACTGAAAGAAAATGAATTAAATTGGAGATAAGCCTGAAAATACAGTTGTGGAAAGTGTTCCTGGTAGGTGATAGGGTATGCAAGGTCAAGGTTATGACACTTGTCATTTGATGATTGTTATATTTGTTAGTAGAACAGGATATAGGCTTGTAGGT